GCGGGGCGCGGGAGAGCACCTCCTGTCTCAGCCCGTGTCCCCTTGTTTGCTGCAGGTGGCTGGTACAAAGGGCCCAGGTTCTCCAGGCTCCGGGAAGACCGGATGATTTTTACTAGCTCCCTGGCAGCCTTTGCCCACCTTTGGGGTATGTGCCCTCCCTGGCTTTCACACAGCACCCGGGGAAGCGGGACAGGCTTGGGAGGGTGGCTCAGGTCCTGTGATGGCCCCTGCTCAGACCAGGGCTCAGCTCAGAGACAGCCAGACCTCAGACCCTTCTGGGAGGGTCAGCAGGCACGCAAGGGAGGAGGGCACCAAGCGTCCATGCTGGGTTGGGGGGTGGCACGTAAAGTGGGAGCTCAGAGGTCACACAAGCCTCAAGGTCCCACAGCATCAATGGTTGTGGTGCTGCTGTGGTCCTGCCTATGGACCTCTCTTCAACAACGGGCTGAATTACCTGCTGGGTCTCCTTCTTTTGCGCCCTGTCTGATGACACTGATGGACCGCAGGCAAAAATTTCCCAACCCAGTGGAAAGCGCCAGCAAAGGGATTTTCCAGGCACCGGTACCTGGCAGGCTCCAGAGGCAGTTTGAAATCTGGTGTGTCTCTCTGCTCTTCTCCCTCCAGGCGTTCCAGAGAAAGTTGGCCTGTACTTTCTTTGTGGGGTCTCAGGAGGCCTCATGCTCCTGCTGTGCATCATCAGCCCCAAAACGACCTTCCTTCAGGAGCTGGGAGAGGCTCTCAAAGACCCGGAGCTGGGTAGCAGCTCGGAGCTGAACCGGACCAAGCTGCGGGATGAGCAGGACGAAGACCTTCCTGATGACAGCTCCTCGGACTCCTCCTTCCGCCGCCTCACCCGCACTTACCGAGCCACCAACAGCATCTTTGGCCCCGAGCTGACGGCAGCCATGGAGGGAGCAGTGGAGAACCAGGGCTGCAGTGGGGAAGAGATCTGGATGCCCAAGGAGTCAAGCCCCTACGCCATCCACAAGATCAAATCAGCCACCAAATAACTGCAGTAAAATGTCTGGAGAGCAGCGAGGTGTGCAGGCTCCAAGAGACACAAGAGTTTGGGCTCCTTGGGG